CACAAGAACAGAAAAAATAAAATAAAACCAGATGTTCTTCAATGGGTGAATGATTAAACGCTGGTATATCTATAGCCTGGAATACTACTCAGCCACGAAAACAAACTATCGATACATTCAACACCTGGAAAAATCTCCAGAGAATAAGGCTGAGTGAAAAAAAGTCAACCCCAAAGGCTATATAATCTGTAATTCCATTCATTAAAATTCTTAAAATGAGAAAATTATAGAAATAGAGAACAGATCAGTGGTCGCAAGAAGTTAGAGGGATTAGGAGTGACAGGGAACTGTGTGTGGCTATGGAAGAGCAAACTGAAGGATCTTATAGTGATGAGAAATGTTCTGTATCTTCAGTGTCAGTATCAATATTTTGCTTACAATACTGTACTATTACTTTACAAGATGTTACCACTGAAAGTGTGTAAAGGATACACAGATCTGTTTATTTCTCACAATTGCATGTGAATCCACAATTATCTCCAAAAGTGAGTTTAATTAACAGCGACTAAGGCAGCCACAAAGAAAAAATACATTACAAAAGAATGACATTTGCAATGGCAATGGACTTCTCCATGCAAGTTAGTCAAAGACAATAGAATAACATCTTCAAAGTGCTGAGAAAAAATGACTGTCAACTTAGAATTGTGTATACAGAAAATCGACTTTAGAGAAAATGTGTGAATTAAAAACATTTTGATAAACAAAAACTAAGGGTTTGCCACCAACAGAGTGTCACCAAGGGGTATCAAAGGATATGCTTCAGGTGGAAGTTCTGAGATGCAAGAATGGGGAGAAAAGAAACTGTCTAATACATGAGTAAATCTAAATAATTACCTGTAGAAAAATGGTAGTAACAGTGAGGTCTGATTTGTAAGGTTAAAAGTCACAAGCCAAGACTAAAATACTGGAAGATCACAGCAAGAAGCTGGAAGATATATGATTTAAACTTAGAGTCCCAACATCTTCAGTTACAGAAGAAGGCAGAGATGTTAACATTATACTTTAAGTATGGGTAGTAAAATTCAAATGCAATTTGCCAAACTGAAATGTGAGAAGTGTGAATTTTTTCAATGTTTTATATAAGAAAATTGGTGGTGGGGGAGGGCAGGGTGGAAAAAAACACAAAAGAAGGAGATAGGAATAAATCCAAGTATATTAGTGAACAATTAGGACTAAACCCATTAAAGTTAAGATTAGGCTAAAAAATAATCCAGCTACATGTTGTTTCGGAGACACACTAAATCATAAAGATTAGGATAAAATTAGAAGGATAGTAAAAATCTACCAGATGATACACTATGAGCAACTCCATGTCAATAAATTTAAAATCTCATTGAAAATGACAAATTCTTATAAAAATGTAGTAACAAAAATGACTATAAACACTTGAAAGAAACAGAAGGGTTAATAATTCTATAATCTTGTAAATCTAATCAATAAATGTGCTCACAAAAGTCCAATTTTATAGACAAGCTCTATCCAATTTTCAAGGAACAGATAAACCTTTATCTACTCTTTCAAGAAGAAAGACACACTAATTTATTTTATAACCTGGATATTAAAACCAGATAAGAGCAACATAAAAAAGGAAAATTATAGGCCAACTTCATTACTGTACTAGAAATTTAAGCCAGCAAGCACTACAAGACCACCACAACCATAAATAAGCATTTACATATTTTGAAAAGTAATTTTTAAAATAAGGATAGGGAAAAAAACAACTTGCAGGTGATATTACTGTCCACGTAAAAGACCCAAGAAAACACAAAAAATTTTAAATGTAAGACTTTAGTAAAATAGCCGGATGTAAAAGCAATATTCAAAAATGTAACTCTTGTGCTGCATCATAAAAGTGGAATGATACAAAGATTAGTATGACCCCTGAACAAAGATATGCAAATTTGTGAACTGTACTGTATTTTTATTTTTGCAACACTTCTGTAAATCTAAAATTGTCTTGGAAAAAAAAATGTGACTCCTTAAATCAGGAGACAAAAATCATATTTTTAAAAGATAATATGTATAATCAAACAGAAAAGTAAAACAGGAGTAAACCTAACAAAGTTCAAAAGCTTCATCAGGAAAACTCTGCGAGGTTAAAGAACTACACAGAAGGATATGCTATCTTTATGAATGGGAAGATTCAATATCAAGATTTTTTCCTACAAATTGATCTACTGTTTGATTGCAAATGCAAACACGGTCCCAACAGAATTCTTCAGGAACTTAACAAGTTGGTTCCAAAGCCACAAAGAACAAAGGACCGCGGCAGTCCTGATGAAACAGGTGAGGGGGTTGCTTAAAGGTGACCTCTAAGGTCACAGAAATGCAAATGTTTGGTACTGGCAGAAGGAGAAACAATAAACCAGTGGAAGAGACAACCCACGAAACAAAATCCACACGTAGACAGAAATGGGCTTAGATGACAGAGGGGAGCTATAATCAATGGGGAACAGACAAACCATTCATTAATGGATTTTCGACAACTGGTTACATCTTTATATAACGTTTTAAAGTGAATCTGGATCACTATATCACAACATATACATACACACATACAATCCAATATGGATTAAAGATTAAGCTGTAAAAAACAAAGCTTTATTTATAACTTTAAGAATATAGGACAGTATCTTTATTACTCATTTCTTAAACAAAATACAAAAAGCACAACACACAGAATGGCTAATAAATTTAACATTAAACTTAAAACTTTCTGCCTAAAATATAAACCTTATGCTAATCAAACATTTAGACCCAAATTCCAGTTCACAGGAAATAGAGAGGCTAGAGGATACCAGGAAGATACCATCAAATAATTCCAGAATGTGGACAATTATACACAACAACGTGGCCTCAACTCTACAAAAAGTCAGTGTCATTTTTAAAAAAGGTGGGGATGGATGGATGGGTAGGAAACTCCTGCAGAAGAACTGAATAAAATGACAAAACAGGCAACGCGTGAATTGAGTTTGGGTTTAAAAACAAACTAACACCTAAAAATGTCACTCCTGAGACAGAGAAATCTGAATATAGACTATATATTATATGTTATGGGATTATTATTACTTAAGTGTGATAATAGTATTGACCATTTTTTTAATTAAATGCATGATGAAATACTGAAAGGTAGAATTTCATGTTTCAATTTGCTTTCAAAATTGTTCAACAAACAATGTTAAAGCTGAAAAGTATATGAATTATGTTCATCATGTTCTTATGTGTTTCTATATATGTATATAATCTTTCATATTAAAAGTTGGGGGAATGAGATCTCACCTCATTCCAGTTAGGATAGCCAACACTGAAAAGACTAGGAACAACAAATGCTGGCGAGGATGCAGAGAAAGGGGAACCCTCCTACACTGCTGGTAGGAATGTAAACGAGTTCAACCATTGTGGAAAGCAATATGGAGGTTCCTCAAGCAACTAAAAATAGAAATATCCTTTGACCTGGGAATTTCACTCCTAGGAATTTACCTAAAGAATGCAACTTCTCAGATTCAAAAAGACATATGCACCCCTGTTTATTGCAGCACTATTTAGAATAGGCAAGATATGGAAGCAACCTAAGTGTCCATCAGTAGATGAATGGATAAAGAAGATGTGGTACATATATACAATGGTATACTATTCAGCCATAAGAAGAAAACAAATCCTACCATTTGCGACATGGATGGAGCTAGAGGGTATTATGCTCAGTGAAATAAGTCAGGCAGAGAAAGACAAATACCAAATGATTTCCCTCATTTGTGGAGTGTAACAATGAAGCAAAACTGAAGGAGCAAAATAGCAGCAGACTCACAGACTCCAAGAAGGGACTAGTAGTTACCAAAGGGGAGGGGTGGGGAAGGGCAGGTGGGGAGGGAGGGAGAAGAGGATTGAGGGGTATATCATGATTAGTGCACATGGTGTGTGGGGGGTCACAGGGAAGACAGTGTGGCACAGAGAAGACAAGTAGGGACTCTGTGGCATTTTACTACACTGATGGACAGGGACTGCAATGGAGTATGGGGGGGACTCAATAATAAGGGTGAATGTAGTAACCACAATATTTTTCTTGTGAAACCTTCATAAGAGTGTATTATGAATGATGCCTTAAGAAAAAAAAAGTTGGGGGGAAATTTCAACTTATGCTCTTCCAGGGGCTTCAATAGAAGGGTGAGAAAATAACCCACAAACTGAGATGTTTGCAACAAATGCATTAGTATCCACAACCAATTAAAAAAACTCCTAGAAAAAATCTGCAAGGAAAAAAAAAAAAACTTAAAACACAAAAGAGGCAAAAGACATGAAAAAAGCTTTCCACAAAAAACAATCGGGAATGAATATATGAAAAGATGCTAACCTTATTAGCATTCAGGAAATGCAAATCAAACAACAGTATTTACATTCTGGTCAAAATGGAGTAACAGGGGCAAGATTTACCTTCCCCATTTTAAACAATGAAAAATCCATAAAGAATATATACAACACAGTTTTTCAGGTATCAGAAAATATCTGGTGCAGGACACTGACTCTTAAGAGAAGGAAACCAAACAAGGGAAGTGCTACAAGTGCCCAAGTTCACTGCATGGAGTTTCCAGGCTGCTGCACTAGGAGAGGAACGTACACCCATGAAGGGCACAGCGGTGCCCCTGGGTAGAGAATGTTGGGGGGGGCATGGTAAAATCTGAAGGGCAGAGTACTGGAGAGAGGAGCAGGCCACAGAGGGTGTGTTCCCGACCCATGTTCCCGAGTCTTCAGCTGAACACCAGTCAACACAGGCATGGGAGGAAACTACCCAGAGGTGGGAAAGTGCCACCAGAAAAGAACAGGTGGTACAATCAGGAGTCACATGGGGCTCAGACTAGTTCTTATTCCCAACAGACAAGGTGGAGAGATCTCATGATAGGCAGAGAGAAAAGTATTCAGAAGGATATCACCTCAGTAGTAGGCCAAATTAGACCTAGATTAAAGACTGTCTCATTAAGCTTAAAAGTAGGCTATGAAAGAATCAAACTGTTTCCAAGTAATTTAATTACGTTCCAGAAAAGATGTGAAACAAAGGTAACTCACATGATGTTGGGGGGCTGTACACTAGTACAGCCACTGTAGAATATAATCTGGCATTTTCTTATAAAGATCCAGATATCCGTATCACACGACCAAGCAGTATCACTCCTGGATACAGAATGTTCACAGCAGCGTTGTTTGTAACAGCAAAAACAAAAACAGACAAACCCCAGATGTCCATCGACAGAAGAATGGATAAACTGTTGTCTATCCAAACAGTACTATATAGCAATAAAAATGACTCTTAAAAACTACTAAATTGAAAAAAAATCAGAGGTAAACATACATTATACCATTTACATAAAATTCAAAAACATACAAAACTTAACCTTTCTTTTAGGAATACATACATATGATGTAACATTTAGTAACAAGAGAATAACAAACACAAAATTCAGAATAACTACTTGAGAAGGAAGGGGCACATACGGTACTTCTAACACACAGGTGATATTCTACTCATGCTGCCTGATGGGTACATGGATATTTGCTAGTCTTTAGACCTTATATATAACGTTTGTGTATTTCTGTATGAAATATATTTCATTAAAAAAAAAGAGTGGAAAATGTGAAAGACTTGAAAAATGAAGACAACTATTTATATATAACAATAAAATTAGTGTAAAAAAGTATACAAAGAAAATGTTTATTGTCTTTCTGTGCCTTATACAATCCATATTAATCTAAAAGGTCCATAATTCTGGTGTGGAAAAAAAACAAACAAGCAGAGTCTAACTGCTTTGACACAAAATCTGAACACCTGGTACTCTAAGCCAGATGAGAGTAAATGTGTCAGCCACTGTTGCCTGATTCTTTCTCTTTCATCTGTACTTAGATTTTTCTTTATCTTTGGATTTCTTAGGACTCCTGCTTCGGTCTCTCTTTTTGCTCCTGTCTCTTTCGTAGGGATCTGGCTGGTACTTGGATTTGTGACTGTTACTATAGTGGCCATCCCTTTCTCGCGATCGGCTACGACTTCGGTTTTGAGGTCGGTCTCTCTTTTCACTCTTTTGTTTCTCCCAACAGCTTTCTTCCTCTTCATAGTGACCAAACCCCATCTCCCTGTAGATATCCTGTCAAAGGAATGGAGGGTTACCAGTGGATCAGTAAAATAATCATTTTTTAGGTACTGTAATAAAACTTAGGTCTACCATTTATAAGCAGTTGTTAACAGCTCAAATTTGAACACTACCACTTAATGCCAAGAATCCTGTAAAATAAAAAGAATAATAGTTCAGAAAAAGATTTAATTGTTTTTCTTATCCATCTCATTGCTGTGTATGTACTATTTCAGATAAACTGAAGGACCAGATCCCAAAGCAAGGAATTCAAATAGCCCAACTGGAATTAGAACAAGTCTTGAGAGTAAAATTATAATACCAAGAATTCTGGTTGTGTGGTCACCTTTCCACCTCCTCCTTCTACACTCCCCCAAAATGTGGTCCCATCACTGATCTGCAGTGACACTAGTAAGATTCCCATAAGAATCCTGTAAAGACATCATTTAAACAACAAAGCTAAGAGTTCATTTAGATAAGTCAATCAGGCATAAAAAAAAAGAACAGATACTAAGTACTTGGGACTGAGGGATTAATTTTAAGCTGTTAATTTCTAACAGCTCCTCTCCAAATCTTCAAACACATTTTCCTTGTTTAGACTAAGTAATATATGCTTTTATTAAATTCATTATTTATATATTTAAAAAATGTTGACAATGGAATAATCCACTGCCCAAAAGACAATAAAGTGGGTACATTAAATTCTATTCTTTTTTTTCCCCACAAATAAGATTTTTTCTTTGACACCACTGAAAGTCTGAATTTTAAACAGACTCTTGGACAGGTGGCTCATATCTATCAGCTTGTTCAACATTAGCACGTGTCTCATCCCCAGGAGCTCTTCCACCCTACTGCCTTCACCATGAAGCTCCGTGAGCTTCTCAATTCAAATTTGGGCTTCTTCAGCATTTCCACTTTTCTAACAAAGATATCATGGAGCAGACAAATAGACTGCCAAGACTTTTTATGTCTTTTCCAACACCACAATCAATTCACTGACCACTTCTTTCAAGTCATCTGTCTGCACCTCTAGGGTCATAATTTCCATCATCTTCCAGATTCGGCAGACCTGTTGATGCTGAGCATAAAAGGTCTTCCAAATTTGATTATTGCGTTTTTTAGTAAAACGAAAACAGAATAGACAAAGCAAGTAATCACTGGTATAGTCTTGACATAAACATGAGTTTCAATCATGGTCTGTCACTTTTTGACCATGGAGCACATTTTTCACGGGTAAGATCCACGCCATGGAAATTAGGTAGCTTTTATCCTGAACACCCTCAGTAGTTAGCTTGAATTTTCTAAATGCAACTTCATCATCATTCTGCAGATCAGCAAGACTTACTTCAAAATAAAACCCTTAAGGCAATCAGATGTCATTTTGGCTTCTTGAGCTCTTGTGACTACTGTTTTCCCAGTATTTCTTATATTGAACATGGCTGGTGCTTTCACATCATACCAGCCTTTCTTAGAAAACGGGTGACGACTTTCTTGTTGGCTCCCTTTTTGCTGCCTTTCGTAAGGCACTTGTTCTTACTGACCACCATGGAGCTGCTCAGGGAGCCAAAGGCTACATTTTATTCTTAATAATTAAGTAACTGTAGTAATTTTCCCATATAAAGGAGGGCTATTACAACTTATTTCTCCTTGTGTTCTATTGTTAATTAAAATGAGTATCTTAACAAGTGGCTGAAATCTAAGGAGGACCAAAGCCAACATTTCTTCAAGAGATAGTTCATAAAATACAATTTCTTAAAAGATTTCTCAGAAGAAAGGCAAAACCCTAAGGATTTAACTTCCAAAGGTCCCAATCCTATTACCATAGACATTATTATAGTAAATATAAATGCTGAAATTCTGAGTGATGAATGACCACAGTTAATTAAGGACTTGGATTTAAGCAAATGATTCACATCTACCATATATACTGTCTAAATACTGTACATTATGCCTGGCATGGAGATCACAGTATTTGAAAATAGATCTCATGTGACTGTCATAATCACAATATTTGTGGAAATCGACATTGTAAACTGATTCATGATTATTCACAAAATCCCAATAGTTCTTGTCAATTATGAGTCCCAGAGGTAGAAAAATCAGTTTGGTTTAACTCTTCACCAATTATTTTCTAGCAAAATATAACGTCCCTATCTGTGGCATCTTACTACACTGATGGACAGTGACTGCATTGGGGTATGGGTGGGGACTTGATAATATGGGTAAATGTAGTAACCACATTGTTTTTTCATGTGAAACCTTCATAAGAGTGTATATCAATAATACCTTAATAAAAAATTTTAATATATAACATACCTAAATAAAAGGATTTTTTGTGCTTCTTGTAGCATATACAAAACGTAAATATGTGTGCACTGTTCTGTCTGTACACACCTAGTTTCTGTAATGGCTGAGATAATAAACTTTTAAAATAGACTGTTAGCTGATGTATGACTCTCTAAAATCTTCAGCACACTATTACACAAGCAGGCACTTAAACACTTTGCTGTTTAAAACAAGAGAGAAAAAAGCTTACACAGTACATCACTCTTGGAAAACACTGAGGAAGATGAAAATTTGAAATAGACTGAAACCTTAAAACCTCTCCTATTTGGAGTACTTTTCAAAGCTATACAAGCGTTGAAGTTGGGGAGTTCTAGGTTCAAATAGTCTTTGCAATATAGGAGGTGTGTCGATCAAGAAATACTCTTGAGGTTAGATTCAGCAGGGAAGGTTTCATAGAGAAATTAGCTTGGGATGAGCCTCAAAGAGTAAGTTGGATGCAGGCTTGGATTGGCTGCAAGAAGCTACTGCAAGCACTGTAAGTGAAAACCGAAAGGCAAGGGAGAATTAGCAGTGTGTGCACAGATGTAGGAGAAGAGTTCAGGGGGCTGGATAAAGCCATCTTAGAACAAATCCTCTAAGTATGTTGCTAGCATAACACTAAGTGCTTATCCTCATTCTAGACATAAGGAAACTGAGACTCAAGAGATCTACACAGATTGGTTATTCAATTGATCAGTAACTAACTTGACACAGAAAGCTGAAAGGGGGTGGTACAGGATAATGGAAAAAAACACAGCTGACTGAATCAAAAAGAATGTCAACATCCTACTAAACTAGAAAGGCCCATGGACCTGTGGGGTCAGGATCTTCATAACTCAAGTGAGAGAACTGTATTAGATGAACTCTCAGTCCTTTCCATTACAGACTTTAAAAAATTCTATCCTTTAAGACTTAAGACAAGATGATTAAAGTAGCATGTGCTTAAAAACAAAAGAAACATTATAAATGGCCAATTTAAAGCAATCAACTTAACTAGCCAATGTTTTCATGTAAAGCAATAAAAAAGTCTATTCTAAGGGATAGTGAAATCTATTTCTGACAATGGATATTCTGACAATGAGCATGAACACTTCTCAACCAGGCAACCCACAGCTGAGTATTCATTTCCTGTGACCCTAGTAAAACCCAAACCTCAACAGTAACCATCTCTGGAATTAAGACATGAGACGGAAAAATTAAACAGAAAAGTTTTCGAACTGAACAGTAAGGTTACCACTCAATAAAAAACAAAAAGCTTGAATAAGTTAAAACATTCTCAGTAACTAGGCTTACCCAGCAAAATACTAAAGAACAGGAAAATTGAGCTATAACTGAAAATTACCTATTACTGAAAATTCCCTTTAATGATTATATTTTTGAGACTGAAATCAAAAGGATAAAAATTAGAATAATAGGAAAACTTTGGGCCCCCTGAAAACTTACAATATAACTGCTGCTTTAAAAAAGAAGAAAAAATTAATATAGCTATGTTATTAAATCAAAGTATAAAATAAACATTTTTAATACCTTTGAGGGGAGAAATACAAGATTATGATTAAGAATTTAACAACTTTATAGTAGCCGACTGAAAATTCTTTAAAAAATACTAACAGTATTCCCCAAAAGTACTACTTGATGCCTTTTACTCCACACCAAGAGGATATTTGTTGCAGTAAAGTTTTAAGTAATCAAACAGCAGAACAAAAAAATTCACAAAATGATGGGGATGGGGATCACAGACTTAAAATGCAGCTGGATTTCAGATTTTTTTAGACCTCTGATCATCTCAAACACACCAATGTGTATCTCAGGCCTAAATTCATTAAAGATTCCATGTACAAGTACAGCATGAAGAACTTTAGGTAAGAGCAACATGTAAGGGGTGGGAGGAAGATTAAGGAATGTTAGTGGAAAGCATGCTAAGCAGAGAAATGTGATGTAGATACCCACTGAAAAAGACTAGGTGATCTCAGGCTAAATTAATAGAGTATGGAGGTCAAGAGGGAGATGTTCTTATAAGATCATGCTGAAATATTATACTAGGGGACAAATTAGAACAAAAATAGGACTTAGGAAAGAAAACCGACAGGCATACATTGGAGGTAAGAAGAGCAGCAGCAGAGTAATTAGGAGGACAAGTCTGAATTCACACATGTACCTGCTTACATTTTTCATTTAAGAAGAAACTGTAAAACACAAAGTGGTTACCTGAGGAGGCAGAATGGATAGAAGCTAAGTTCTCGGTACTGTTTTGTAGATTTTACTTTTGAAGTATATAAATAATTTTTTAAATCACAAAACAAAAAAATGCTAAAGTAATCCTTAAACACTGAAAGGAAACAAATTCATTGAAATATGAATCTGGTTAATGCCTTACCACAGAAACTATTCCAAATGATTCAAAACATAGTAATTTGACTGTAGTAATAAAAGTAATAATAATCAGTGTAAAAATGTGTGCACACACATTTTTTTCCCCAGTTCATCTTAACAACATGCCTGTGAAATAAGTATAATCTCAATTTCACAGAGGAGGAAACTGGCTCAGAAAGATAACTTGTCGAGGCCACATCGATGACTAGGAGCACTGGAATTCAAACCTAGCTTTTCCCCTTCTTTGCCAGTCATCCCAGATCGCTCCTTCTGTCTTTGGTTGGATCGTCACACTCCTGAGTTCCCTCCCTGCCTATTGAACAACTCCTCATCCACCAGGGCCCAGCTCAAATGTCCTCATGCGGTAAAGCAAAAGCAAGGGGCTGTCATGTAATTTTGCTTTTCATTTAGCTGAGAGCAAAAATGCAGGTTAGAAGTGATTTCTTCTCTTTATAATCAATTTTCTTTGTGGAATTTTTATAATCAATGTCTTACAGAAAATGTTTCATTCAGGAAAGCTTTTGGGATTATCAAGTTAATTAGGAGGGCTATTTTTATTTCATGTACACAGTATGTCAGGACATAATGTTTTACAGGTCTTAAAACCTCCAGAGCTATAAGGGCTGTACATGTAGCACTTGGTGATAAACTAAAATGATAAATGAGGACTTTCTCAGCACAGCCACACTTGTTTTTGATGGGAATGAGTGAGTGTCCACACTCGTTTCACAATGTGGAATTAAATGTGTACTAAGTTACTTTAAAAACAATCTTTTCTAATTTGTGCTATATATATTTTCAAAAATTAAAGTTCATTACTCCTTCAAAGGGATAAAATATTTATTTTTCCACAGCTAAGTCTGGACATTAGAAGTACCTGATTAGTATTTTTGATTGGCAGGTAGTCCTCATCTTCTTTTTCTTCAGAGCAGTGACGGGTTTTCTTCTTGTGTTTTTTACTTGTATGTGAGTGACTTGATTTTGAGTCTTCTGCTTGCTCCTCTAGGACAAGATCATATTTCGCACTGCAGCAGCTAGTTAAGGACAACCGTGAGAACCAACACTGGTAATACATCAAAACATAAGACAATAGTAACAAAGGAGGCCATGAAGCTTAGAGTAACTTTTTAAACCAAAATGCATCTCACAAGCATACAATTTACTTCTAAAACAAAACTAACTCTTATCTTCTTTCACTATATAGTCAGGAAAAAGAGAAAGAAACCCTAATCTTATTAACAGTTAACAACTGGTACCTGGGCAAAAAATATGGAGGGCAAATTAACTGTAGCCACAAATTAAAATAAAAGTATCATAAAAAATAAGGGAAAGTATTTGTCAATGATGAAAAACTTAAGCTTAGAAAATGAGGCACTTGTTTAACTAGAAAAAACTTAAGATATTACATGCCCAATGCCACGGAAGTTTTGTAAGATAAAAAGTACATTCATGTGTCTCTTATTTTCAAATGTCAATTAGTTCAGCCCTATACGAGGAAATTTAGAAATTACATCAACACTTATCATGCTTAAATTCAAGTAAGAATTTATAAATGAATAAGTTAAATGAACAAAGGTATATATAATAGGGTTACTTTTTAATAATAGAAACTGGGAACAATGAAAAACCCAATAATAAAGATATACTTAAATATATTGTAGAACTTGAACATGATATACTACTATAAAGGAAGTTATTAACAATGATAAATACCATGAAAAAACCTGGAAAGATGTCTATGAAAAATTAAAAGTGAAAAAACTTGAAGCAAAAATTATATATACCGCATGGTTAGTATAATTTTATAAAACTTTATAAAAGATCAAGACTTAAAAAGGAACAAGGAGAAATAAAAATCATCATTCATCTAGGTGGTAGAACTGTAAGTGAAACTTTTTTAAATTTTCACATAAATGTGTTATAAAATTGTAATGTGTTTTAATTCACAGCTAAATATTTCTCTAATATACTGTTATGTCTTAGAATAACAGAAAAAAATATAAAGCTATTACAACCTCTTCTGATAATCTCAAATTCTAAAACAGATTTTGAGGAAGGCTGACAAGGGCTAGATTAAAGGTTTTCAAAAGAAAGCATATGAGGAAGCCCAACATGTAGAGCACGTGGGACTAGAGTAATCACAGACACACCTCCCTCCAGAGCAGACTTTCATGTCTGCTTTTACAACGCCACAGCTCTATGCTTTCCTCAAGGATGTCTCACTTCCACGTAAGATTAAGTAGGAAAACACTGTACCTTCTGGCTTTTCACAAGGTGGCTAGTCAGCCTGGACTAAACTCTATTATCTCTAACTTCTTTTCTCCTTTATACTATGTTACACTGTTTCCAGAGTACCCTCTGGGTCTTCTTTTTCAGATACTAGTTTAATAGCCCTTGCCTATGATTTCACCTTAGTGTATTGCTTTACACATGCCTTCCCCCTGCCCAAAATGCTTTCAAGCAGTGTTCTTTAAACTATTGATTATAATCCACCAATGGGGTTCGTGCAAAATCGATTTAGTGGATCACAGCCAGCATTTTTTAATAACAGAGAACAGAAGATAGAGTACATGAAACCTCATAAAAATACTATGACATTTTTGTTTCAGTATGTGCATGTGTGAATGATTATTTTTGGGACTGCTGGGTCAAGATAAGAACTGTATTTCTTAAATGATGTGTCACAGTTAAAGAAAATGGCATCCCATGGCAGGCCTCCTCTTCCCAGAGTTAAGATGCAGCTTAATGCCACTCCATTTAGTATTATTTGAGGGTCTTCCCTATCCCTGCACCTTTATTCCAAGTCCCATATCCCACAAACATACTTCTTTGCAACACTCTAGACATATTTAACTAATGGTAATTATTTAAAGTCCATTCTTCCTCCCTCTCCAACAATACAATGTAAGGTCTATGTGGGCAGGGGGTATATTCACTGCCAACCTGGGTATGTAACAGATTCCAAATAAGTTCTTCTTGATTATGTATTATACTGCCAAGACACTTGTTGTATCTTTTCTTTCTCCTTATCATTGTTTCCTACTCACTGTTCTACTACTACTGATTATAATCAATACTTTTAGAAAATGTTAAATCTCTCCCAAATCCTTTTTATTAAATATGAATTTGAGATTTGACTTCTTTCCCCCAATTTCTTTCCCAAGGTCTGTCTGGCCAAGTTAAACTTGCCTCTCCTACTCCTATATTTCAATCTTCTTATTAGCAGCCTCATGTACAGCAATTTTTCTTTCTTTCAAGATCCACAAAGTATATCCCCACCACCCCTTTTTAACTGACTTTAGACAATTTATCTGCACATTAGATTATCCTCTGAATCCCCTTTCCTTGTCATACTAAAAAAGTAACATAATATAGTATAAAATGTGTATATATGTGTGTGTGTGTGTATATCTTACACATTACAAGCACATGACTTTTCCATCTTTTATTATACCTGAGATTTAAATGCCTTGCTAAAATGAAACCTATCAATTATCAAGAACATAAAGACTATCCCACTGGCTCAGACTCATGAATTTCCTTTCTCTTGTTCACTATTCTGTTTGACAGTGATTAACAGTGATTTGCAATACAACATGTCTGTCTTCTCCATCAACTTTAATAGTAAAACCAGGAACTGTTCAAAACCAGCCACATGTGGTTGTCTAAATTTAAATTAGTTAAAATTAAACAAAATTTAAAATTTACTTCCTCAGTCCACTTCATATGCTCAATAACCACACGTGGCTAGTGGCTATCCAGGCACTGGAGGTATAGTACGTTTCCATTATTGCTGAAAGTTCTATTGGACAGTACTAGGCTAGATGTTTATTCTCAAACATACCTTTCTTAACATAGTTTCTTAAAACATTGCTTCCTTTCTTAACTCTTAGTAACCCATCATACTGAATTTAAAACATTTCAATACTACATATTCTTTCTTTTCAGCATCAACGGGGAAAGGACATATCCCTCTATTTTATACTCTTAACTGTACGTCCTTTAATATGTCCTACTCAGTTGCCTTTCTCTAGCTGCAGTTACTACTGGTTAGTGTAAATTTAATTGGAAAGATTTGGGAAATAAATCCCAAGTGTACTCTACCCATACCTTTTATGATTCTAAGATTTCAATCATATCCCCTACAATGTTCACCTTTTCAAACTAAATCTTAGCTTACTGTTTGATCTGTCTGTATGTGAGGGCCTGGCCACATGCTAATTATGTCCATATACTCACACTTAATCCATTTCTAATACTTTACAATGTTTTATGCAGTACAGTCAACCCATTTTTAAAAATGAGTACATAACAAATTCGACATTCATCTTGCCTTGACGAATATTTGGAAAAGCAATGTCTATATAGCATGGGGAAAAAGAATCCAACAGAAACTAAGAAACAAAGAAACCATTTACCAGAAAGAATCACAAAAGAAATAATCTTTGCAATGTGTGGAGTGATAGATTTATAATGAGATATCAATGAACAATGACATAATATAAACACTATGCTTCATTACTTCTTACTTGTCTCAACGTAATCCTTGGAAGAACATAAAGTAAATGGTCAAGTCAATGGATTTCTTTTTAATACTATAAAAGTCAACTCTTGCACACAATAGGAGCCCAATAAATCTCTACTGTTTTTCTAGACTGAGAAGGTACTAAGCAGAAATAAGCAACTTAATCATGTAAAATAACAGGATTTTGTTGTCTACATATTCACCATCTCCAAACATGTTAAACATACAAGGAAAATTAGTACATAAGATTTAGCTTGAGTATAAAATAAAGAAAATTTCTGAGTATGGGGAATTTAAAACATTACAATTATATACAGAAAATACGTATCTTACCTGATCTTACCTGATCATTAACCTTAACCTAAGAGTAGGGAAATAATTAGGCTACAGATTTCTTTCAACCCCAACTTCCTCCATCCAATAAAGAATACACTTAAAAAGTAAAGTACATGTAAGACAGTGAATAGAGGTAATCAACTAAATGATTTCTTCACAAGTCATCTGGATTCAGGAATCTTGTCTTCTATAGCCTTTGTGACTTTTGATACCATAGCACACAGTCTCTCCACAAAGTGGACGTTCCATACATATTGACTGACTGCTTCCTGTGAAGGATACTCCTGTTTGGGCTTTACTTTATCTTTCAGAACCAAATTAGACGGTTTATCCTGTTCCTTTTCATATTCTTTGAAGTCACTCTTGGTGTATTTCCCACCTATTTATTAAAAAAAGAAAAACAAGAGAATTTAGGAAAAAAATCACCAAATTAATCAAGAAAAAAATTATTTTATAAGAAGTATAATATATAATCACTATTTTATAAGTGATATATATATATATGAATAGAGAGGGGTATAGAAAAAGGCTGGGAAGAGAACAAAAGAATCATAGTGAGTCTCTACTATTTTAATTGGTCGGACATCCATTTTGCTAAGTAGCCATATGCTGCCACCTAATGATGCAATGTGAATATTACAACATCAAATTTTCAAATCCCACATTAGACAGTTCACTGGAAAATGGTGCAGTGTTTAAATAGAGCCATTAGGTCCATGAGAACATTAGGTCCAAAGGAAATTGAGAGTTTGGGACCTGAGTTTGAGATGTGAGAGACTTAGAAGTTTGGGAGACCTAAGGCCTTCAAAGCCTCTGATCTGTCAAAACAGACACTCTCCCCCAAATCTCAACAGAACACTGAGCTGACAGGAGACAGCAGGATGTGTGTAAAAGTTCACGAAAGAGATATGAAAGGAGAGGGCTGGGTAAAGCACCAAAGATAAACTGTCTCTGCTTTGAAATTCTTGCTTAAGAGAATCTTTATTCCTTCCAAGTGCGCAAATGAAATCAACAATCTGTCAGAAAAACAGGACCTACTGTTTTGTTTTGACTTGCCTACAGAGGCAGGGCCAGCAAAGGAGAGAGCATTCCACTCAGCCCCTCTACTCTCCAGTCTGATCTCCTAGCAGATGAGGATTCAGTTCCCATCCAAGCCCCAGCTCTGCTGAAAGTCCCGCCCTTCCTCCCCCTTCACTGCCATCAGCGCATGCCTCTCCAGGGAGGGCTTCCCACTGCATGACAAGTAAAGCTGAATGGAGGCACACAGAGAGGTGTTTTGATTGCACACCCTATATACACCTTAACTGTCATCAGGGTCTTAAAGGAGAAAATAGCAATTTAGAAAAGGGAGTAAGCATCAAAGACAAGACTGCAATTTCAGAGGCTCCTGAAACAAAAGTGGCCTGTAGACAATGTTCTGTATAAATGTGAAAAAGACAACTGTAAGAGTAAAATATGGGTAACTGTAACAAACAGGTATCATTTCATCACTGAAGGATTTGCCATGTGCTTGTCATTAGTAGGAATGTCACTATGGATGTAGCAGTTACAGCATAACAGAAAAAGCAATGGATTAAGTGAGTTCTGTGTTCAAATCCTGGCTCTATGGGCGGTCCAAGATGAACACCACTTTTCTGAAACTCATTCTCATTTATAAACTGAAAATAATAACAACATTTCACACAGCTATTAGAATCACTAAAAAAACCTGTTAAGGGGAAGTACTTAGCACTGTGAATGGCAAAGAAGATACATTCAGTTTATTATTACATGTGAATCCATACTACATAAAATTATCTCAAAATTAACTGAGATTAACAACAGAGTATACGTTTATGATGGCATATGTGAAACTAAAGCATCTGTCTCCTCATGACAGTTTATCTTAGGAAAAAACATGATGAAATTCACTTAAAAGTCATTTTGTAAATAAACTACACTGAAACCACTTAGGAGAGCAGTAACATTTCTTCAGTGGGTAGATGGGTTAAGAAGAAGACAGATTTGAGAGGGGGAAAAGAAACTCAATGTAGGGCCTTTGAGTCATCAGTTTATGTGACCCTGGATAAGTCACTTCACAAGAGTAAGCCTCAAGTTCCTTCTCTGTACTGAGGAATTATAGTAATACTGGTTTCATACGTATCCCAAATGATAAACTTAAATTAGCTCTCTGGGAAAAAAGCCCAGAGAAGAGCTGCTTGGCAGTACTATTTGGACCAGAACTGTACCGCATTAGGCCAGCAGATGGTCTATATAGTTCCTGAATATACCTATTTGCTTCTGTTGTTCATATAGCTGCCATTACCACATGTGAACACCATCTTAGTGCCTCAATTTAGTTTTTATTACTCACTCAAAATAACTAGCCATGTAATCTAGATTCTAGGACGGTTTCACGGGAGAACCTAACAGTCTAGGGACCCCCAATCCAAGTCACTCTCTCCTACCATGGAGAACATGACTTCCATCAGGCCTGTTTCTTCCTTGCCTCTTCCAGTGTTTAATAACTGCTCCCTTCTCTGGGCTCCCATAAGGAAGCACAATCTACCAAATACTTCAGCACGTCACTCTCAACCAGAGTTTTCCATTTCTTTCTTATTGAAAAAAAAATTCATAAAAATCTTCGTAAGTATTGTAGGAAAAGAAGTAATCCTAGACTTCCTGGTAAAATTTAGCATTTCATGATAAAAAACTGCCAAAGTGAACCTTTTTAAGAACTGTATCAAAAATTAAAAACCACCATATTATTTCAGAATACTGCAGACTCAACCTTAAGTTTGGTGTGCCATTGCCAGGAATTAAGTTGACATGCACATATGCACATGTGGGAGCCGTCATGTACAGGGAGAGTACACAGAAGAATCAGATTAGAAACCTGACTGTCTCCATTAATAGGACTGGTTCAGCAAATTATAGCAAATACATTCAACCTAACACTGCAGTTGCTGAAAAGAACAAATTGTCACTACATACACTGAGGTGAACTGATCTCTTAGATATATTATTAAACATGTAAGGTACAGAAATAGTGTGTATAGCCTGCACTTATTTGTTTTCCTTCACTAAAGGAGAAAACTATATGTATATATAGAAGATACATAAAATGAAAGGAAATTCTTAACATCAGATAAATGTTTATTGTAATGTGTATTCAAGCAATATATGTGGAAGGTAATAAAAGAAATAGGTAACAGTGGTTACCTCTGGGAAGGGAAACTGGGTAAATGAAGGGCAGGAGTGGAAGGGAGGTTTTTTCGCTACCACCTTTTCATGGACCTTTCCAGTTCTGTCCATAGGACAATTAAAACAAACTTCAGGAAAAAATTTTGAGAGTCTTGCATCTACAAGAAGAAAATCACCACAAAGTCAACATAATTACTTTGGAAATGTGTCACGTCTGCAAAGGGTAATTTTTTTTCCTTTTTTTCTTCTTTCTTTTATTAAGGTATCATTAATATACAATCTTATTAAGGTTTCATATGAGCAACACTGGTTTTTACATTCACCCATATTATCAAGTTCCCACACACACACCCCCCATTGCAGTCACTGTCCATCAGCATAGTAAGATGCTATAGAGTCACTACTTGTCTTCTCTGTGACCCCCCCCATGTGTGCTAATCATAATGCCCTGCAAAAGGTAATAAATATGTAACTTGTAATACAGTCAAACACAGAAAATGCTTCAGCAATTTAAAATAAACATACACACACACTCCTCTACCTTACATTAGACAGCAGCTGTGTAAAATCCTAAGTATTAGGAGTCACATCAATGAGCATTTCTCCTCATTAACAGCACTCAGTCAAAGGAGATGCACATAGACACAAGCATGCAAAGCAGAACAAAAAACAAAAGAAGATGAACCAACATACCTTTTCCTTTCCATTTAACCTTTGCAACAGACTGGCTAAAATCCACATGTATTCTTCTGTCATCTATTAGTACATTGTCCATTTTGAAGAATGCTTTCTCACAATCTTCTTCCTGATGGTAATTATAAAAACTCAAGCACAAATCTTTATGGAAAGAACTCCTGCAGCTAGAACAAATACTGAAAATACAAAGTTTGTTACTAAAACTAGTCTTTGAATGCTTACTAGGCACCGAATGCTGGTAAATACTCTGGATCTATTATTTCAATTAACCCTGATAGCAACTGGATGAGGTACTATTATCTCCATTTTCTCAAAGAGAAAACAGAAGTTCAGAAAGGTATAGAAGGTGCCACATGTCACACAGTTGGCAAGGATGAGAGCCAGGACTTGAACTGAGGCAATCTGATTGCAGAGGACATATATATACTTATCTACTGTGTTATCCAATTGGTTTATACAAATCCCTAATCCCTTTTACTCAAATATATAGAAATTAAAAGTTGTTTTTATAAATTTGGTGTTAAAATCCATTTGACAACATAACCTGACCTAACTAGAGGCTATGGCATTTGTTTCACTGCAGAAATACTTTATGCTTGATTAGAGAATGCTTACACATACACACACACACACAATTACTCTTCTGAATTCTGAAAACACCCAATTGGGAAACACAGCTCTGCCCAGGAGCTTCAGGTGACAGCGTGTGGGCTGGTGATATCAAGGCCTGGGTTACATGTGGGTGCTTCCTGCCAGCAGCTTCACAAACCCTAAATCTCTATTTCTGACTTCTGAAGATTAGTTATAATCATATTTATTTACGATTTACGTCAGGAACTAAATGGATTATAAACTCCATGAAGATACAGATAAAGCTTTAATCATCTTTGTATCTATACATCACATATGGCAGGCAGGCAATGTATGTTTGACGCAAGCATAATCCCATCACTGTGCCATTTCCCCAAAAAGAAAACTCGCAGATATTTACACATATGTGAACACCTGACTGGTAACAAAGTTAACACTGCTGAGCTGTGTGGATAGGACAACCTTTTCAATAAATTGTGCTGGGTTATCTGGCTATCCAACATAAGAAAAATGAAATTTAACATGATACACATAATATACATATACACAGAAACTACATTACAGATTTAAAGAGGAAAGATAATTTTAGAGCAAAGCTTCTAAAAATAACAGAATATTTTTATGACTTTGAGGTAGGCAAAGATATTTAAAACAGACCATAATAAGAAAAAAAAATACTGACAAACTGAACTAAAAATTTAGAAATTCCTGTTTATCAAAGGAACCCCCCATTAGGTAAGAAGACAAAACACAGAGCAGAAGATACTTGCAACACATATAACCAAAAAAGAGCCTATATCCAGAAAATGTAAAGAATTCTTACAAATAAATAAAAAGGCAGAATACCTGATCAAAAAGTGGGCGAATCTTAGAAAGTTACTTCATTAAAAAAAAAAGACATCCAAATGGCAACAAACATGTAAAGGGGATTGACCAGGGAAATACAAAATAAAATCACAAGATGCCACAACATATTCACCAGAATGGATAAAATTTAAGACTAACCATACCAACAGATGGTAAAGAGATGGAATATGGGGAATCCCACACTGCTAGTGGAAGGGAAAATATTAATATAACCACTTTGGAAAACTGATTGGAATTGCTAATTAAAATCACACCTACCCTATGACCCAGAAAATCACTCCTGGATATATACTCAACAGAAATATATACTATAAACCATAAATATGCTATAAACCAAATGAACACCAAAAGACTATGACAGAAATGGTTTATAGTATAACCACTCATAACAGCCCAAAAGTGGAAAGGACCGAAATGTCCATCAACAGCAGAACAAAAATCTAGCTTGTTTTATGTACACACAATGAAATACCATATGTCAATGAAAACTAACAACAACAACAAAAATAACCAAAGCTACATGCAGTAACGTATAAATTTAACAAATGTAAAAGTGAACACAAGAAACTAGACACAAAAACCACATACAATGTTTATATTTATATTAAGTTTAAAATTAGGCAAAACCAATCTATGATGTCAGTAGCAATGAGGGGAAACCATTAGAGGGCATACAAGAAAGGCCAATGCAATTAGGGTCATTTTTTGTCTGCTAATATTGTATTTCTTGACCTAGGTGATAGTTTACATGGGTGTATTAACTGTGATAGCTCATCAAGCCGTTCACTCATGAGCTGTACATTTTCTGCATGTATTTAGCTCTTCAGTTTAAAAACAACCTGAATCAGATTACCCAAAGCATAAAGAACTATGCTAATGCAAAAAAACTAGAGAGATGATGAACACTTACCAAGAAGCTGCCCACACCCTGGAGAACTATGAAGCAGAACAATGTAGTTTAATCTGAGGGTAGCTTAACTGAGAAAAGTTTCAAAAGATCCCCCTCAAAACTGAAATGTTGAACATGATAAAGAATTCATAGATCCTATAATCATCCTATGGTCCAAAGTTGAGCTGAACTATATATTTATAGAAAATGGTGTATCTGCAGAAGACTGAGAAACACTGGCAATTTTTAGTCTATGTGCTATAAACTAAAAGAAAATATATTTCATTAATAATAATGAAATATTATTATTCAATATTATTCAATAATACTGAAATAATGTAAATGAAATATAACATGAATATAAACGAAATGGAAGTTTACTTCAGGGAAATAAATAATATTTCTTAATGTGTCAAAATCGAACGACATTGTCAGGTCTAGAAAAAGTATTCATAACAAACTAACGGTAAAGATATCCTTTCTGTTAGGTGCATGGTGCACAGTAAATATCATCTCTGGACAACCTGACAATATCTAAGTGAAATTTGTTATGTGTCTATCTTCCTTAACCTTCCATTATTCATCTTATACCACTAAAACTTATCACAGTGCCAGAAATATAGGTGTTCGATAAATGCCTTGGAATAACTGTAACTTAGAATGAGCTACTACTGGACACACACATTCAGTCCAAGGCTGCATAATGAAACAGCGTAGCCTAGCATAGTGGCTAAAAGCAATGGGAACAGTCAGATGAATCTAAGTTCAAATCCCAGCTATCACATTCACTAACTGCATGATTTTAAAAAGTCACATGACCAACTCTGTGTCTCAGTTTACCTATTTGGAAAAGGAGGGTGGACCTATCTCAGAGTTGTGAGGATTAAATGCAGGCCAAGTAGCATGATGCCTGGCTTAAAGAAAGTTATTTGAGCACATAAGCTATTATTATTATTATTATTATAGATCTGGAAGGTACCATCTAATTCAATACTCAAGCTTTATTTATAAGGAAGGTAAAGCCTAGGAAAAAAAGAGTTCTAAATATACTGCCAAATATCATATAATAGCTAGTCAGTAGCAGAGCTTGGATTAATATCTAGAACTTAATACTCAGACCAGTACTCTTTCTATTATTCAATTACACACACATCCAATTAATACTGAAAAATCATTTATAGAATGTGAAAGACTTTACCTAAAACTTTATAAAAGTTTTCAGATACATTAATGCAGATTGCACCTGAACCTATAGTAAAGGTACATGTATTACCATCAACAGATGCTGAATCTATCACCTATTTGAATATAATACAATTATTTTTCTTGGGTTTCTAAAGAAATGGAAAACTAATTTTCTAATCTTAGAGACCAGAAAAGGTTTTAGTTTTTCATATTTTATTCTTATATAAGAAGAAAATCAATATCAAACTTAATATATTATCTATATTATGACTTACCTTTTCAAATTCAATAAAGGCATAACAGAGGGATTCTCCTGTCTTCCAATCGCGGATAACTTCACAACTGAAAGTAAGTTTGGAAAAAGTCACTTTAAAGAAAAGGCATTCATTCTCACTCTTCAAAAGTGAAGAACAAAATAAGTTAGTTATTAAAAGGCAAAGTTAAACTCACAGAACTGTATTTCTCCAAATTTCTTTAGTAATTTTTTTTATATCATTAATCTACAATTACATGAAGAACATTATGTTTACTAGGCTCCCCCCTTCACCAAGTCCCCCCCAACATACCCTTTCACAGTCACTGTCCATCAGCATAGTAAGATGCTATAAAATCACTACTTGTCTTCTCTGTGTTGCATAGTCCTCCCTGTGCCCCGCCTACACTATACATGCTAATTGAAATGCCTCCTTTCTTTTTCCCCACCCTTGTCCCTCCCTTCCCACCCATCCTAAAGTATCATTGATATATAATCTTATGTTGGTTTCAAATACACAACACAGTGGATCAACATTTACCCATATTATCAAGTCCATACCCCCCTTCAGTGTGGTCACTGTCTATCAACATAGTAAGATGTTACAGAATCATTAACTGTATTCTCTGTGCTGTACTGCTGTCCCCGTGACCAACCTATATTGTGATTGTGAATTACTGTGACCCTTAACACTCTTCTTGCTCCACTCCACCTTTCCAACCCTTCCCCTTTGGTAACCACTAGTCCCTTCTTGGTATTTGAGTCTACTGCTATTTGTAACAATTAATTTAAAAAAAAATAGTTCACCATTAACTAAATTATCTAAATTCTACTATAAATGTCCTGACCAGGCCCACGGTCCTAAATTCCCAAAGCACTAAAGAAGAGTAAGATAAAAATATTCAATTTTCCTGCAACAAAAGTAATCTACTGCTAATGAATTTTTTTAATGATTTACCTCTAGTCCAAATGTAGATGAATTATAGAATATCTATTGTTACTGGAGAATAATGTATGTGTATTCATACATATATATACACATTTAATAAGTCTGTGCTTTGGAGTTTTTTAATTTTAATATAGCCAAGCTCAAAATTAACCCAGTAAATATAGCTATTACACAGAACTAATGTATCTTAACAACCAAACGAAAGGGTCAGTAAGACCAAGCTGAAACCATCTGGCTTGTCCCTTTCCTCACACATCATAAAGTCTCATTTTAAAAGCATGAAATAAAACATTGTGAGAGAAAGGAAATCACTTTATAGCATATGGTTCAGCTATTACAACATTTACATGTACATTAAAATATAAATATTGAACAATAGTCTAACCAAAATTCTGACACAATCCAGGTGGTAGGAAGGGAGAATGAAGATGGGAGAATAGTAATACAGGTAAATCCTCATCTTCCTTTAGCATGAAGCCAGCATATGACGTAAATCGAAAAATAAAAAGTAGCAGTATAGGAATGTTTCTCATAAATATGATATATTGTGAATGAATGGGGGAATGATATTGCATAGCCATTGATAGAAATATTTTTCTTTCAAAAGGAAAAATAAAGAATGATTTCACAGGGAAAAACATGAAATGAAACTTTAAACATAAAATGACACTTTTTAATCAACTATAAAATATTCCCCTTACAGAAAAACTAGCTTCACAGACTTCTGGATTAATAATGCTAAGGAAATTAGTCAAAAGAAGAATTTGGGAAGACTTTAGTTGCAAAATGATTTTTATATACATTGCTGGTAATTCTAGGAAGAACTTAACTGAGATAAATATTTTAAATATTAAAGAAGGTAATGAGAATACTACAGAACTAGACTTAAACTATTCCACTGACTTCCTTGGAGAGTAAAAACGTTTGTGTTGAAAGTGAGAGACTCATTCAGTTATATATATGCATGTGTGTGTGTATATTTATATATTTGTATATGTGTGTATATACACACACACATTCATACACATATTTTTCTTCCCTACTGTCCAAAAGACTCATCTGTAAAATTTACCAGTATAACATTCACCTAAAGTTCACAGACTCATCAAAAATGTCATTATAAGCCAACTAATACCAAGTTTTTCTAAAGTCTTCCACTAATTATAGAGATTACCTTCTTATTGGCCCAAATCTTGAAAATATTATCTCCAGATCCTCGTCTGTGGTCACTGGATTCAATTTACACACAAACAGCACATTTTCTGGAGGTTTAATATCTGCATCAGGTAGGTCTCCCACCTAAATATAAACAAAAAGAATATTTGTGCAGTTTCCCTTCTAAATAACCTACTCAAGCTCAAAATGCTGATTTCCCTAAACCATCTAAATTCACAATATAAACTACAGGCTCAGGAAAGGAAATCTAAATAAGACTTCAAAATGTGAACTACACTGCTGCTGGTAGTAATAGTAATAGCTAATACTTACCTGACTCTGACTGTGTGTGAACACTACTCCTGGCACTTCATATACTTCACTGCTAATTCTTAACACAACCCTGCAATTTCCATTTTAAAGATTCAAAATTCAAAAGGTTAAATAACTAACTTGCCCAATGTCACACAGTAGTAAGCAACAGAGCTAAAATTTGAACTCAGGTCTACCTGGCTTCAAAGTCACAATTTTATCTCCACTTTTTCATTTTCCAAGTATCTGATATATTAAAAAAAGAATTTATGTAAAGTATATCTAAGATGTGAAACAATAACACCCATGATCATCTTACAACACTGATGGACAGGTAACTGCAATGCGGTATGGGTGGGGACTAGATAATATGGGTAAACGTAGTAACCACATTGTTCTTCATGTGAAACATTCACAAGAGTGTGTATCAATAATACCTTAAAAAAAAAAAACTCCCATGATGCCAATGACTACCATAAAAACTAAAATTTCCCCTGATCCCATTACCCCTTTGCTTCTTTCACCAGAAATAACAAATATCCTGCTTTCTGGCTTTCCTTTTTGGGCCATTCCCTTGCATATCTTTATGAGTTTTCCCATATAGGTACATATCCCTAAGCAATACATAGTTTTGCTTATTTTTAAACTTTTGAAAAATATTATCAAACTGGTAATCATTTCTACGATTAGTAATGCCCAATCCTTTCCATGTTATTGTTCAATATGGAACAGCAACATGTCTTTAGAAAATTCCCAAACAGTTTTCTAGCTTTTTACTCTCACTCTCACCATCACCTTCCACTTCTGCCAAACTGAAGTCAACTTCACAGGCAACTACTGCATGGAGCACAGCATACCACTTCCTGCTGAAGAACCATGATGGTCAGTCACAGTGAGAGAAAACCTTGTTGGTGGTGCTAGTTTCATTGTTGGAAAACTGTATTTCCCATAAAACTTCACATGGGCAATAGTATTTTTTTTATACATATGTTCAAAAACTCTCAGAGATAATTTCTTTTTCATTTTTAACTGAACTATTGTTGATACACAATCTTACGTTGGTTTCAAATTACAACACAGTGGCTCAACAGTTACCCATATTTTTAAATCCTCACCACCTCTAGTGTGGTTACTACCTATGTATGCAGAAAGATGATAGAATCATTGACTGTATTCAAAGATAATTTCTGGAAGATTATCCCATGTCGCTCTTGGTTAAACACGTTTAAAAAAAACAAAAGAAGTCTTGAAAATTAGAAACAGTAAGAAGTAATACAGCCAGTACGATCTGCTCAGTGTTTCTGAGATCAATCAAAAGGGCACAATAACCTATGTCCAGGAAGTTTCACAGCACATAAGGGGAAGCACAAATACCAGGAAAAGCTCTGAAAAGCACCTACAAAGACAGAAACAAATACCATATCTAAAAGAAGTATAAGTGAGAAACAAAGTTAATGAGTTAAAAAAAACTGCTATACTACTTGGTCAAAGATAACAACATTAAGACACTAAAAGGAAATTTAAAATATTCATAACAGCTATGAAGTTCAAAACTATTGTAAAACATTGGTTGAACTACCACTTTATCACATACAAATATAGAGAAACTGATGTTCTTAGAAAATAGAAGATGAAACCTGTTAATGGTGCGAATCAAAAGAATACAGTATCACCTATTAGAATGGCTAAAATCCAAAACACAGACAATAACAAATGCTAACAATGGTATATAGCTACAGGAACTCTTAGTCACTGCTGATGGGAATGCATAATGGTATATCCACTTTGGAATACACTCTGGCAGTTTCTTACAAAGCAAACCACACAATCCAGCAATTGTGTTCCTAGGCATTTACCCAAATGAGTTAAAAATTTATGTCCCCACAAACTCTATTTATACTTGATAAAACTGGGATGCAACCAAGATATTTTTTAATGGGTGAATGGATAAACTGTGGTACGTCTATACAATGGAGTATTATTTTGCGATCAAAAGAAATCCATTATCAAGCCATCAAATTAAAAAAAAGCCAGAGGAACCTTAAATGTTTATGATTAAGAGGAAGAAGCCAATCTTAAAAGCTACAAACTATATGATTCCAATATATAACATTCTGGAAAATATAAAACCATGTATGAAGACAGTAAAGATCAGTGGTTGCCAGGGTTTAGGGAAGGGAAGGATAAATATGTGGAGCACAGGGGCCTTTAGGGCAGTGAAACTATTCTGTATGAGACTAATAATGGATGCATTTGTCAAAGGCCCAGAATGTATAGTACAATGAGTAAACCTTAATATTAATTATGGACTTTGGTTAACAGTAATTATCAATATTGGCTCACCAATTGTAACTAATGTATCACTGATGCAAGATGTTGATAGTAAGAGAAACTTGGGGATGGAGGGGAGGTATAGAGAAACACTACTTTCTGTTCAATTTTTCTATAAACCTAAAACAGCTCTAAAAGATAGTCTGTTAATAAAAAAAAATAACAAAAAAGGAATCCATGACTCCATACTAATAATAAACATATAATAAGTAGGTGACAAAGGAGGGCTCTTCTTTATAGTCAAAAGCAGGCTGACAACTGTGGAAGCAGGGGAGTTGGAAAATCACCACTTTGTACCCATCAGAGTTAAGACTGGTTCAAGCAAGAATTGTGAACAGCTGAGAAATCTAGAAGACCAGTTTGACAAGGAACAAGGTATGTGATCTATAGCATTCTGGCTATGGCTAATCACAAGGCACAAAGGTCTCAAAGAATCCTGGTATACAGACTGCTGACAAATAAAGGGGAAAACAGAAAGCATGCAATGGAGACACCAGGCAATGCATTACCTTAATTAAGTGATCAAAATGAACCCCTTCCAAGGAAGAGCAGATGGATATCGCACACCTACAGATGTGACATCTGAGGAAGACCCAACACATACGTAGCATTCTGGCTATGGATGCATAACCTGAACCTAATCATAAGGCAACAGTAGAAAAAAACCAAACTGAAGAATATTCTATGAGTGACCTATACTCTTCAAGAATGTTAAGGTCATGAAAAATAAAGAGAGGTTAAGGAATTCTTCCAGATTAAGGAGACTAGAGATACATGACAACTAACTGTAATAGATGATTGATCATGAGCTGGAATTTAAGACTGGAGGGGAAAAGCTATAAAGAATATTACTAAAATAGAATGGAAAAACTGGAATATGGACTATAATTCTATCAATTAAATTTCTGATTTTGATGACTGCACTGAGAATATGTAGGATAATACTGCTGCTCTTAGGAAATACATACCTATGCAGGAGATAAAAATAAATTACGTTTATAACATATTTTCAAATTATCCAGAAAAAACAATATATGTGTATGTGTGTATGTTATAAGCAGAGACGAAGAGTAAAGAGAAAAAAGGACAGGGGTAAGAGAGACAGAATGAATGACCAAGCAGGTACGGCAACATAGAGAAGTATTCTGCACTTCTAAATGGAAGTTCTCTGTTCTATTTTTGCAATTTTTCCTGAATTATCTAAAAAGGCTCAAAAAATATGCTAATCCATTGCAGTTGTAGCTGCATTCATTCCACCAGTTCCTGGACTTGCCATTGGAATGAAGAAGGAGATATCTAAGCTGGCCTGTGCATACAGTAAAACAACAAATTTGACTGGATCTATACTGTCAGAACTCAACCAAGAATTAGGAGAAGTGCAAGTTGCAGCACTCCAAAATCTTGC